ATGAAGAACACAAGCTAAGGAGATTTCTTATTTAAAGAAGAAAATTATTCTTATGACAGAATAAATTATAAAATCCATTAAGTAATTCTTGATCACAATCACTTTCAGCTCACTCAAATTTATAGCCTCACTTAATTTTTTTCTTCAAATACTATTAAAGTAATCTACGTTCATGACTAACTTCCCACTTTTTCTTTTATTTAAAAGTAAAACCTAAAAACTTTCTTGTACTTTTTAAGAGCATATATTCCTAACACGCACAGCTGAAGGGAATTGCCTTTTCTAGACATTGTCCTACAAGAGGAAAAGTATAAAACTTTGCCCTTAATTCACTGTACAAATCCAATTTTACCAAGATTAATTAAAAGCAGTAAAATACCTTCATATCTGCTCTTCCAAAAATAGCAAAAAAAGTAGAGTCAAAGAATCCTGTTTTCAAAAAGTACAGATAATTTCTGCACATCTAACTAGGCTACAAAACACCATGTGCTAATACACAAAATAAGTGTCTCTAAGAAACAAAGAAAAGTTTGGGAAATTGCTCTGTTGGTATACAGAACTGTATATGCAAGTGACACCCATCTTTAACCACACACAGTAATTCCTCTTTCACTTTTATATGTTTATGCCATGACTTCTCAAGGTATGCAGTTAAATATTCGCTAGAACTTTCATGCTTCAGAAAAATAAAAGATTTATTATGCCTGCATTTACTGCTATAAATTGATTTATACACATCTATAAAACAGACACACAGCTAAACTGTTCTACATACAGTACCTAAGGTATTACACACAATCGTGACACTGTTATCCACTGCAAAGCCATATAATTTCTGTTGATATCTAAATCTGAATTCAGTTTGAGTTTGTTGTTTAAGGTCCTTTGCCCAGGATCCATGTCCCAGTTGTTGTTGTTACTCTTCCACATGGTTTAGTCCTATTCCTGACATTAGAATCTCATTACCACTAATACAAACTTTCAGGATTCTTGCAATCCCAGTACTGGTTGATTCCAGAAAAAGCTTGAGAGAAAATATGATCCCAACTGCATGTCAGAAGTGCTTACAGATACACTGGATATATTATTACCCTTGGACAGTCATATCAAAGCAAATAAATAACTTGGATTTTCCAGGTCTCACATTCACTCAGAGACCTCCGTAACTGCTGACTGGCCAGCATGAAAGAAGGAATCCTGCATTAGCAGAGCTGGGCAAGAAGAGGTGGACGGCAAGAAGAATGGAAAGGAACTGCTCACTTAAAAGCACACTTACAAGAATATTACAGGAGTAACAACGGGGCAAGGTTGCAGGAAGATGTGTGCATTTTTGTCTTCATGTAGTAATTTTTAAACTTATTAATAGCAATTGTTGCATGGTTAGAAATAAACACAACTTCAACTTCCTTATCTGCTCTTTCAGAACTACTCAAATCGGGGGGCGAGCAGATGAAGATAGCACACAGTTTTTCTTTTGCAATCAACATTCATTCAGATGCCTGAATCCTGAACATAGGAAACACTGCAACAACCAGTTTTAATTTATTCCTGATTAATCCTCTAGCTTCTTATGATATCTGGGTAAAACCTAAATGTTAAAGCTATGTAACAAGAAAAAAACCCCAACAACAAACCAAAACAAACAAAGCCCCACAAAACAAGGAATGTGCTGGTGCAGAAATTGGGGATTTCTAGTGATATTTCCTGCTACTGGTGTTGTATTCCTGCCTCATATAGTTTTCTGCCATGACCCCAGGAGGGCACATTTGCTCACCCATGCAGAAGCATAGCCAGGAAACTCCTCAGCCTTTGCATATGAGAATTTAATACACAAAGCAAGAACAGAGCAAGAATTCCCTCTCCCTAGCTATTATGTCGCTTGCTGAAATCACCATCTGCACTGATGTCAGAGAGCTATGCTAAAAAGCCATGAACTCATTTCAGACAAACACAAGTCACAGTCACTGGCTTCTCAGCACAGCTGGGTGTCAGGGCAACTACACAAGTGGGCTTTCAAACATCCAGAAAGAACGAAAGGCTTGTGTTACTCTCATCTGTCAGCTTGCCACTTCAGGGCAGCCTGCATTGTTTAAATACGCTCCTCAGCTCCTGAGTTGAGTGCATCAAGCTATAAAAAGTGTCATGAAGCCAAACTGATGCCAGTCACAGCATAAGCACAACCAGGGAGGCAAGTACAACAAGGCTTGTGGGTGTCTGTGGCTAGCACAATCATGCGGGGCTCCTTCACTAGTCAGGCTGGTGGTTCGTAGCATGCCCATCCCAACAGTTCAAGCTTTGGGCATCGCAAAGTTTTAGTAGTCTTCATTTATTAAAATACCTGGATAGTTGCTAGACATAAATGAATCGTTTATAACCACTGTAGTGATGTCTGCCTGAGTTTTCAGGCTGTGTAGGCCACAGACATAAGGACTGTACAAAAGGCTACTGCCTGTTGCTGCAGCAACAATCCTGCTCTAGACACAGACAAAGCATCATTTTGCACGTGGCTAGTCTGACTGCTTGGGGAACGGACTCTGGCGTGCTGGCTATCCCCCTTCCCTTTTTTGAAATTCCTGCAAAGTCAGAAGGTAGCTTGAGAAATTTTTGGGACATTCAAGGCATACTGGCTGAGTCCCTGCTCCTGACTTCAGCTTCTAGTCCTCTAGCTGCTGGGATCCCTCAGAACCTGAGCTTGCTTTCAGCCCTCACTACAAAATACAACAGCACCGAGTCCTGTCCTGTGGAGATAAATGGAGGCAAGTTTAGCTCTTCCCTAAAATTTCAACAGATAAATCAGAAGCAATGAATTCTTCCATCTTCAGAAACCTAAGACAGGTACAATTTCTTTCTTGTCCTCTATAGCTTATCAGAGACTTTGAGACCAGACTGTTGAGGTCAGCTGCGATGAAAGCTCAGCAGATTGGAAGGAGGTTAAGATAAAGCTTGAATACTACTAGAATTTGTTCATGAGGTACCCAGGTAGATGCATGATAAGCCAGAAAAATCCTGTGTAGAAAGACAACATTGCCTGTGGCAGCTTTAATAGCATCTCTTCATTATGTGACAGATAAAAAATTAAGTACCAGTGCTTCACTTGCCAAATCCTGTACTTTTTGAAGATACCTTAAGAGTTCTCAGTGTTACACCCCAAATTTCTGTTGAGTTCCTTGTTTTACAGTGGTCTTGGAACCAGTGAGGAACACACTTTTATTGCTGGCCTCATAATTTGCTCATCATCTGAAAGCCAAACCTGAAGGCCAGATTGGTAGCTCTCTGGTTAATGCTCTGTAGCCTAAAAGAGTTGTATCCACTAACCGCAGCTATCAGAAGTTGGATGCAATTCCAACATCATGGCCTCTCAGATTTGAGGTTGAGGAAGCAGATCCCTTCAAACTGATTTGCACTGATCCACAGATGGTAAACGAGGACAATCAATTTGCCCAACATCACAGAACAATTTAGTAGTATAACCAAGTGTTGTCCTTTGACCTGCTTCTTACTGGAGCTCTCAGCCTCCTAAGAAATACATATTTATTCAGTTCATTAGCAAAACATTAGTTAATTAAGCTTTCTGTCTTAAAGATTTATAGCATTTAAATCAGACTACCACTGCTTACTTGCAGATAAGATTACAATCTAATCTTGAAAGACACATCCCTTATTTTTCATGCAACACAATTCAACCTTAACTTTTAAAGAGTGCTGTGAAGTGATTCACCACATGGCACTTCCCTTGAGCAGGCAGAAAAGATCTTGTGCAAGAGGCAACCCTTAAATACAAAGGGGTAAACTACATGCTCCTTCCGAGTCATACAACTTTTGATCAACAATAACAACTATTTCCCTCGTCCCAAAGCCACTCCTCAGCAAAGACATGCAACTACAATCAGACTAGATCATATGATTTCCTTTCCTTTATATTTTTTCCCCTTTAACAGCTAAAGTTCAAGCTCTCTGATTAATGACACCAGTGAGATATACAACACTATTTACACAAGCAGGTTTCAAAGCTATCTTATGCTAGGACCTAGAGTTGAGTTACGGGATGTTAGCTCAACCCTACTGCTGAAAACTGTTTCCAAATTCCAGTACCTTTCATAGTACAAAACTTAACGTATAATTGCAGTGGGCCAGCTAAACATCTCAGGAGATCTCATTTATAAATTTCAATATGCATTCAGTTCTTCACAAGCTTTTTCCTTCTCGTGTGCAAAGCCAGCTTTTACCAGCTTCAGTGACAACTCTGCACACCCAGGCAAAGATTTTGGTCCATACACATTTGTGTCTATTCACACAAATTCAGATCTGTGTGATTCAGATAAGTGGATTCTCCCAAAACTCCTGATGACCTGCATTAGGGAACACTTCAAAACTGCTCTTAAAAGTCACCGGCTTTGGCATCTAAGCCCACAACATGCTTTTGGAAGACTCTGCCTAAAAACTAGCTGTTAAAACCACAGACAGAAATGTGCAAAAGCTAACTTGTGTCTCTTGTCCAAAAATCACAAAACACCTCATTCAAATACACCTTTAAGTAAAATTTAGAGGATGCCTAACCTTTCCAGGAACTATAAAAGCAGCTGAGTATTGATGGTATTCAGATGGCTAACTCTGGACAATGTTTAGACCTGGACTTGGTCCAAAACACCTCACTGTAGCAGCGACGTCCACAGGCAGGTGTGGAACACCATTTGCCAATCTGTGGTTAACATCTTTAAATAAAAGGAAACCAAAAAGCAAATACCATTTTTACTTTACATAACTTAACTAAGGAGCTGGGGCGGAGTGAGGGAAGCACTTTGCAAAACCTGTTTTCTTTAAGCCACATTTCAATCCTCACTATAACAATAGCTTTGGCACTGAAAGGATGCTGTAGTGAAAGACCAGTGTGCAATGTCAAAACTCACAAAAGGAAAACAACATCTGTACATACCAGCTAAAGTTAATTTCAGCTTTAGTCAAGATTGTATTCAAGGCTCAAAACTGTAAGTGTTACTTACTCACACAGAAGAATGCCGTTTTCTAAACCTGAACGAAAATCTTTCTCACCAAAACTTCTGCCGGTCACTTGCTGTAAAAGAGTAGGGGGAAACAAAAAAGAGTGACATTCATTAGAAAGCGTGCTTTACGAGAGCAATTCATAACATTCAGTTAAAGCATCTGCTGCATAGGAAACATCTGAGCTTTACAGGCCTTGCCAAAGGACTAAGTCATGTCCATCAGCCAGTTTCCTCCTTCCCATTTCATTGAGATATTTAACACACAGAACAAAGTATTTGCTCTGGACAGTGCAATTACAGATTATAACAGAGCTGTGTTCTAGAAGTATAAAGCAAAAACAACAAACCAAAAATGACAATGTAATCTTCAGAGCATTTTAATAATTTTATTTTATAGTGTTTTGAATTTTAAAACTATTTTATTTAGACAAACTGTGTATTTTTACTGCTTTTTTGCACCATGTTAAAAATCTTGTACTGGGCTTTTGGCCTTTAACCCATCACCTTTCTAGAGTAAGCAAGGGCAATCAAAAGTGCTCGCATGAGTAATAGCCCTTCAGACACACACCACAATACTCCTGCTCATAGTAAATGGTATTTCATATCATGAGCATGAATACGAACTCAATGGAAGCTAAGGTTTAGGCACCTACTCACAGTCCTGTCAGGGACGCTTGGACCAGGAGGTACATTATGAGCTCTTAAGCCAGTCTGTGTTGCTTAGGGAGAGACCATCTAGGAACTGCCTAGGAATCCCAATCTCGCCTGAGGGTGCCGGATGCTACAAGCATGACTGAACCCCCATTTATGACTCACTACCATATTGACAATGGCTTGCCATTCATCCTCAAATCATTCTCAACAGATGACGTGTTCAGTTAAAAGAATACTTTTTATTACCACCACCAAATATATAAAAATAGTTCCTATGTTTAGAGAACACTGAACAAAAACAAAACAAAGAAAAAAAAAGCCTGCTAGTTTTTAATTGTCCTCCAGGAGGTCTTCTCCTCACCCAGCCAAAACATTTACCGGATGCTTATAGAGTTCTCATGGCTTGTATCCAATCTTTCAGCAAGACCCTTGCTCTGGGCGTTGCTTCCACCACACAGAATAGTGACTTGGGGACACATCTGTCCTTAAGTCTCTATTTTCACCTTGCTGTTCCATTCAGATACAAGACCCTTCCCTTCCCAATTTCCTGTCATAAAGACAGCAATTTATAAAAACTGACAAGTTTGGCACTTTCCCACGGGATTAGCAAATGCAACAGCTTCACAAATGCTGGTTATAGCTAAGCGCGGTCTTGGGCAGAGAACAACACTTTTTTTTGAATTGAAGTGCAAAAGCAAAGCCCAAAACCTAATCCCCTACTTAATTATAAACATAATGGGTTTTTTTCAATGTGAAGGAACTTCTCCCAGCAAACTGGTATGACAGTGTGCAAACTTTACTACCACCACCCCCATTATTCTGAAAAGCATATCACAAAAACATCAGTTCACATATTTTATGCAAATGCATGAAGTTGAACAAGCCATACCTCAGACGAAATCAGATATGATCTGTGTTAGCAAATGATCTTTAATCATTTTAACTATCTCTAATGATAGCAAATCATCTCTAATCTTGATCTGCTATGACAGAGGGAACTCATGACAGTAAACTCATTAGTATTTGGGATGAACAATAGACAGAGCACATCAAAACTGACTTTCCTTTTAACCATAAAGTACAGCGAAGAAAGGAGTGGGAAGAGCTGTCTTGTAACAGCCTGACTCATAGTGGGGTTTTGTATCTATGCAGGGAAAAAAAAAAAAAAAAGACTGTGATCTTATTTCACTCCTCAAAATCAAAGGTTCCAGCTATAGAAGTCGATTTTCTTATGTGTTTGTTGAACACCCTCATTCACCAGGGAGCAGCACTGAAACTGTTAACGCAATTCAGGTAAGAATCTACTGCCAAAAACTGTTACCTGAGTACCACTGTCTTTATTGCTGATGTAGGAAGGTTTCATACATAATTACTGGCCACATGAATAAAATCATGAAATGCAAATGCACAGCTGGAACAACAATTCATCCAGCGAGAGGTACAACAGAAACTGACAGCAGGTAAGGAAAGACAGGAAGGTCCAGGAACAGTGCATGTCTGTCTGAAAAGGAACTGAAGTATATGAGGCATGGAAAGGCTGATGCCTATTCTAGATGATCCAGCTGCAGAGGGGAAACATTAATCAGCCACAAGTCTCCTGATTGAGCAAATTAAAATATAAAAAAAGTGCAATGGAGAAAGGCTACAAACTAAAAATAAGCATGAAGGTAACATTTTAAAAGACAAAGATAAATGTGTAACAGGACCAAAAGGAGCAAGAAGCTGGGTCCACCTTTTCCAGAGGAAATTAGAGCTCAGTTTCTTGGCATATGCACACAGAGGCCGCTTGGGTCATACCCTAAAGAACAAGTACAGCAGGTCCACAGGCCAGCCTTGTGCGCAGAGATAACCTTTGCTCAGCACACTGAGAGTGGGAGGAACGAGGATTTAAAGTGATATCAAGAAACAGGATTGGCACTCTCATATTTGTAAACAAGCATCCCACATAGCTAAGTGCATACTGAAGTTCGCCCAAACCCGTGCTAAAAGGAAAGCACGTGCATTAGCTAGCCATGGCATCACAAAACCATTGCATGCTTCACAGGACCATGTTCACATTATTGATCTAAGCTGTTCTGTTCCTACTAGCATATCTTCCTCCATCTCTGGAAAAAAAAGCCTCCAGTTTGACTGCCGAATGAAACTCTGAACACTCACATACAAGGACTAGAAGGAAGCATTTACAGTGCTTCTACTGAGTTTTATTGGACGGAAGAAAATTGCACATATATAGCCACGTACAGAAAAATGGAATATAGGGGAACAGATCTTTAGCCTATCAGCTTTTGTACTACAGAGAACTGGTGTTCAGAACAGAACCTGCACAAAAATAGTCATGGACAGAAGCTGAAAACTGAAAGAACATCAAGACCTGGTCTTCCTTCTCAAGGCCCTCTCCAGACCACCACCTCTTACGTGCTTTCAAGACACAACTCCATCTGTTACCAGATCAGCACACTTAGGCAGTGCAGGAGGAAGCAGGATACATGGAAGAGTTCCATAATCACTTCTGCAATGCCAGCACATGGTAATTCTCTGAAGTGCAGGGGTACCAAAGTTAGAATGAATCACCTTAAAGGCAAAACATAAGCTGTATCCTGCTATGATTATTAAAAAAAGCCTCACACTTCTTTAATAAGTTCTATAAAGCTCTGAGGAAAAAAACTGCCTTTCCATACCATACTGTAAATTAAAAATAGGAACAGAAGTGAAACAATATAATTTATTATTGTGCTTCATTTATATGAGGAGGAGTTCTTTCTACTCATCATCTGGATGAAATTTTCTTCTCTGTAAAAAGCTGTGAGCGTCTTCAACCAGGGCAATTATTTGACTGCCGGACGTTTTTCTCAGTTTCACTGCCACTTAACTACCCAGAAAATGAACCTAAAAATGAATAATAAAAGTTTTTCCAAAAGGAATATTAGGAGACTAAACCACAGCACACTGACTTTGTATCACAAGCTTATAGCAACAACTTTAATACGTATTTACACAGTAACGCTTCTTATACACAGTATTGTTCTTGATTAACTCCTTTGTTCATTGCAGTTACGCATACCACTAAATTTATGTCATAAGGATGGCTGTCATCCAGCCACTAACCAGTGCCATATTACACAACTCTATTTTCACTAAGCTTCAGTTCACATTGTTTTCCTTGTGTTTTTTGTATTGCTGCTGGTGCTTCCCAAGATGGAGCTTGCAAAGCCCCTGGTGTCAAAACAGCTTAAGGGCAAGAAAAAGAAAAGGTGACAAATTAGTGAGCGGATGCTGGCCTCAGGTGAAATTTATCTCAGACAAGTAGTTGGATAAACACTAGGTCATGAGGGACAACAGTCTGAAAACACTTAGCTTCATTTTCTGTGTGCACATGTGAAAATAGCATGTAAAGCAGTGAACAAAAATACAGACACAGCAGGGAGAGATCTTTGTTACTCATGATTTTTGGAGAGCTTGTGAAGCATGACACCAAGGAAAGAAAGACTTTCAAAAAGTTTGGTAGGCTATTTATTTCTTTGTACATGGGTATGCTGCATTTCCATTTTGTGCAACCATTGTTTTCCCCTATGTAACTTTTTAAGAACCCTGCTACTTAACTAGAAAACATCCTGTTTTTACTTCAGGGAGATGTGAAAGTAAAGCTTAAACTGTAATAATCACTGGTATGTAAATAGTGAGCACTGGATCATATAAGTAGCAGGGAACATAAACCACCAAAAACAGCATGACAGTTTTTAGGGCATCAGTATTTGGTGCCTCTAGAAATTTAAAGGCAGCTTCACACTTGCAGACTAGAACTGTACCACTATTGTACCACTACTACTATGGCAGCGCAATGGCACCTGGAGACCCTTCACCAGCTCCTGGCTCTGCCATGTATTGGTCATACGATGCTTTGCTCTATCTGCAAAAGCGGACACAATGCATCATTTAGGCATGAGCTCCCTCTCTCTTCCTCCTCAGCAGAGGCATTTCAATTGCTAAAATCACAAAATATAAGGCAGCCCTGAACAGCTCTATTAAAGCGTAAGGAAGCTAGCTGATTGAGAACAGACACATTTGAAGACTGCATGAATGGAGCTTTCCAAGAGCTACAAACACAGATCTAGGCACACCTGTCTTCAAGGAAAGCTGAATGATGACAAGCAGTCAGCAGAAAGATTTCCAAGGCATTACAGCATCAAGGTAATTTACTACTAAAATCAATAAGAGGGTGAATAGCTTAAATATCTTCTGTGTGCATTTCTACTCTGAGGACAAAACCAGCTTGAGCTCAGAATGACTGATGTGGCCAGCAATGAGCCACCTGAAATTCTGTGGTAAGGAAGTTGAAAATGTCAAGAATGCATGGGAGGAAGGAGGAAGATTCCACATTTGGATAACAAGATTAATCTGCAAAGAAAGCACTTAACATTATTTACTTTTAGAGCTTCCAGTTTCTGGTCACTTAAATTTAACTGCAATTTGCAAAGTTTACTAGCTGTGCTGAAGTCCTCTCTGTTCTTTTCCTCTGGCTATTCACCCTCATACTGTTCTTTAAAGAGGCAAGGAGTTAACCTGCTCTTTTTTACGCTTCATAGGAACGCCATTTTTTTTGGTTTTTTTTAGCAGCACCAGAATGAAACAGTGGACAGCATATTCTCTTCCATTTGCTTTAAAATCCCTTCTGCAACACTGTCAGTTGAGTTAGCTGACAGTTCTGTGTCAACATATAGCATGTGAAACCATATTCACTGACAGACATACTCCCGACCCCTTTGGTGGGTCCAATTCTAAGTCCTCACTAAAGGAATGATTTCTTTACTAGAGAATGCTAGGCAGTGCCTTTTCCACAAACAACTAAAAACCCTCAACAGTTAATTTTTTTTTTTGATCCTTTGCACAGTTTAGTGAGGACAGGATTCTCTGAATGGACACATGCACTTACGTTTAACATGTAGGCTAAAAGAACAGATTCAGTTAGTACTCCATTTAACAAACATAACAAAATAAATACAAGAACAAGAGTAAAACAAATGTACCACCAGACAATTTTCCACTCCAGGCCACCATCATGCCTATTCTTCCTATTAAACAAGAATTTATGAAGACAAAGACAACAGAGTGCCACTTAAGACAAACCATAAGCCAACTCTGAACTACTACAGAGCAAGACTACTCTGCTGACTTAGGCCCTGAGTTTAGTAGGTCTTTGACACCACCTCCTCAAATTTTTTTATATGCCAACAGAGAGATCAGCCTCTGAGCAGTTGGACTACAATTCTGCCTGCTGAAAGGCCAAGAGATGATGGGAGAAGACAACTGCAACCAAACAAGGCTTACCGCTGCTGATAAAGCACAGGCATCACTATATTCCTCCTTTTCCCATTAACATACCACTGCCATCAGCAGCTATTACCTACCTAAGGCTTTAAAGTCAAGTCTGGAAAGGTTTTGTCCTTACTAATCCTCCCCATCACCAGAGCTTTCCACATGGAAACTCTGTATTGCTAACAGTAGTATTATACACGTAGAGTTGCCATACATTGTTTGGATTTATGAACTTGTGGAGCCACACACATTTCTGCCAGGACATCTGGTAGTGTAATCCCGCTTGGCTGGCAAGCTGCTAAGGAGTGTTAAAGTTTCATGATAGAGTAAAATCAGCCTCCTTTTTCATCTCCCCTCCCTAATGGTGTTTGTATACATTCCCAGGTGCTTTGCCAAAGGTTGCAGCCTTCCCTTTGGGGTGGGGTGGGGCAGAAAATGTTTTATTCAAGGTTGAACATTTTGTGGAGAAAGAGAGCAAAGAGCACCAAGAGAGAACTTAAAAGCAATTCCTGTCAGACTTCTCTTGGCTGCAGTGCAAGCCCTGAAAGCTTCACCTAGCAGCAGGTCATCTGATACATCCAATTTGTATTTGACATTTAGTAAATCGGTATAGCATCATTGTTTTATGAGTAACTAGATTCTTATCTGTACTTCAAGCGGTATTATCAAAATTAGATATCAGATGACAGAACACCCTAAGATATCTGGTTGTAATCAGTGGTCCAATTTAGGGTTCTTGTTATTGCTAAAGCAAACAAACAACTCCCCACTCAAACAGAACAAAACACACTCCCCCCCAAAAAAAAACCCCAAAAAACAAAAAAATAAGGTCTCTATGAGAAAAACTTATTTCCTGTACTTTGGGACCCACCATGCCTTTGTTAGTTTTCATATGAATTAAAGAAGAGAGGAGGACAGGGCATAGGCTCCTGCCATACATGTATCAGTAAAGTGTCCATCCTCCTTCTTGACTGGGAGAAGGAGAAACAAAGCACTATTTTAACAAAATAACTTGTATTTGATGAAAGTTATATCTTCTCCTAATGGTATGTTCTTCAGCTCTGTACTCATTTCTGTAAAAACAAGACCCCATGCAGACAGTCAGAGGAGCAGAGATCAGGATTAGCACGTACAATGTGGAGCCAACACATACAACACACCAGAAGACAGTGAAGGATGCACCTCCTCTATCAATTTTAGTCTGGTCCTGGCTGTCTGGAGAGCCTGACTTCACTCTACACCGTCTGGAGAAAGCTCCCTCTTCAGCTACCCCTTTTACTGCTGCTCAACCTACCCCAGTTCAGGGTGAACCAGTGCTTAATGGCAGTTCCTGGTCCTTTGAAGGGAAAAAAAGCACATGACTAATAATTACTGGTTATCATGAATGCCCTTTCCCAAGATCTTATTTTCTTACCCAACCAGGCTAAACAAGCAGTCTGCTCACTGAAAAATGAAAGGCTGATTAAAGTTATGAATTTTCCAACCTCTTTAGTATGATTCCCCAGGATTTGCCATAGACAGACAGGCACCTGCACTGCCTTCTATTGACCCTCTTTAGTTGCATGCAGAAAAAGAAGTGCATACAGAGAACTGCTCTCAAACCCAGTAACTACTGATTTAGCCCTTATTGTGTCCCTAACGTGATCCTTCTTGAAACTGGAATCAGTGCTGATGGAGTAAGATAACTCAACCTCTGGCTACTGAACTCAGTAGCTGTCAGACCAACACATGTCACATTTTATCACCAAGCCAAAGATTTTTCAGCAAAGGCCAGGAGAAATTTTTTCCTTTGCCTTAGCGTAGGTTGATAACATTAGCAACTATCCAGCAAAACAGGAAAGAGGGCTTCTGGCCATCTCTAAAAGTGCAAAGAATTATAATAGATACTAGTTTATCCTTTAACTCCTTTTTCTAGTTGCAGTATCCCACGGTCTTAAAAAACTGCTCCTGCAAAATAAATGCTACATTGAATCATCTACATGTTGAAATTGAAGTATCTGCTGATAAAACTCTTTATTTTCTCTCCTCCAGCTTTAGACAGTTTAGACAGTCCTGAATCAAAAGCGTTTAAAGCTCTGTCAACTAATTACAGCCACAGAGGCTGAGCAAAACACAGGCAGCAGGCTCCTCACTGAGCCCGAAGTCTTGTCTCACACTCAAAGCAATGAAGAGATCAACAGCTCTGTAGGACAGCTAGATTTGTTAATCCCCACTTTACACTGCTCTAACCTATTTTTACATTATCACTGCATTTACATTTTACAAGACCACTTTGCTGCTACTTCTTGGACAAGCAAATTTTTGACACCAGTGAGTTGCTTTTTGCCAGGAACATGCATCTTGGCAGACAACTTTAAAAATGCACACATTTGAAGCTGGACAGAGACAGGAATACAACACACAGGAAGCTCCAAGTTAGAGAGGCTCAACACTAGAAGCTCTTCAGCTTGTCATTAACCACTGTCAACACAGAAACTACCAAAGCTCAGCACTATTACTGAGCTTTTGCAATGAAAAATGTCTGCTGGGAGACACCAGGCCCCCTTTTTGAAGAAATTAGGTGTTCACTTGAGTAAACCATTACCGAATTTAACCAGCCATTTAAAGATGACGATGTCTTTAGGTCGCAGCGGAGTCTCTGAAATGCCAATGATGAGCATCACTAGGAATCAGTGTACCTTGAAGCTTTTAAATTTAGTGTCATCAAGTCATATCACAAGTCCATATGTAAAGTGTCCCATCTGCAGTCTGTGCAATTTAAATACATATAGATATATAAAAGTATAGCTCAGCAAGACATTTTAAGACCTGGTTCTCCAGACAGCAAGCCTAGAAGCCCAGAGCAAGCAAAGCAGGAAACTGTCTATGCGGAATAAGTCACTTCATATAGACACTGGTGAATAGCATGATTCTATCTATTGTCAATGTAACTTTAAAAAACTTTGCTCCTTTGAAATAAAGGGAAAGATGAAAAAAATCAGTGCTTCTGACAGTAATATCAGAGCTCCTTGGATGTTCCCTCTGAACTCAGAACTGTCACTTGGCATGTTCTCCAGCAGGAACAGAGCTGCATGCCACAGCTTTGCAGTCACTTGCAAAAAAACAATAGCACAATGGCTTCTAAAAAGGAAAAAATGCGCAGTTTTAAAATCACAGAATGAAGAAAAATTATCCACTTGCCTGCCGAAAGAATGCTATCTTTAATTCAGTCATACACTTTTGAAGCCTTCATTTATAATTCTTTGGATGTAGATCTGTTTTTTTCCTGCTTCTATAGAGACAGACTTAAGGAAAAGTATTCACACTCTGAATGCTTTTCCAGCTAAGCCAGTTTTTAAACACAATTTGGCCACCAAGCAAGGGTGGAGCCATATTCATAGCACTGTCAGGAAGCAGCAACGGCCATCTGCTCCCTAAGGGCAGGTGAGCCAGGAGATAAGGGTGGTCCCAGCACAGACTGTGTCCTCCATGATGGGACAGAGTCACACAGGGCATGAACTGACAGTTAAAGCCAGGTACTGGTAACAAGGTCCATCCACTGCATCAGACATCACAAAGTGATGAACTGGGTCTGTTCAAGGAATGCAGTCAGGAGCAAAAGGAGATGGGGGACAGAGACAGGACTGGAAACAAGGCTACAATGTGGGTCCAAAGTTCATCCAGGAGCCAGGACCGGAAACAAGGCTACAATGTGGGTCCAAAGTTCATCCAGGAACCAGGACCAAAGACAAGGAATGAAGACAACCTACAACATACATACAAGGATCCCATCCAGGAGAGAGGGTACCTACAGCATTATGCTGCACGCCAACAGCAATGGCTCCAGAAGCACCAGCTCTGAAGCCATGATAAACCTGACCAAGGAGCAAGAACCAGAACGAGCAGCCAGACCTCCAGATACCAACAGAAATGGTAATACCCCTGCAATCCATGACAATTACTGTTTCTCAATGACACTGACTCACTTTACCAATCTTACAGGTAATGGAAAAACCCCTTTCTTCTCCCCTCATATCTTGTATGAGAACTGAAGAGGATAACACGTTGTGTTGGTTTTGGCTGGGGTAGAGTTAATTTTCTTTATAGTACCTAGCATGGGGCTATGTTTTGGATTTGTGCTGGAAACAGTGTTGATAATATAGGGATATTTTCTTTATTGCTGAGCAGTGCTTACACAGAGTCAAGGCCTTTTCTGCTCTCCCCTACTCTGCTCCATGCCTCCTGTATCCCAAATCCTGAATGAGAGGCAATAGCCCTGCAGAATAGTGACTGCCATTAATGCTCCAAGCAAGAGAAACGCTGAAGAATAGCTACAATCAACTGACGTTTTAGAGTAAGTGGACATGATATGTTGGTAGATTTAACTGTCTTTAAATAGAAAAAAAAAATACTTCTGTAAGATTTCAAATCGCAGCATACTTTTGAAAAGGTATTCCCAAGAGCACCAACCAGCTTAAACAAAACTAAGAAGCTCCTATTCTTTTTTCCACCTTCTGAACTATTTAATTCTCTCCCCTCCTTCTCCCAACCTCCCAAAATCACATTTTTCCATAACTGAAGAATTAAGACCTATCTTTCAGCAGATTGCTCCCATAGGAGCTAGGGATCTTGCAGTGTATAACAAGTACTAGAATTGAAAGCCAGTTTTCATTCATTTGATTTAGCTGGAATAGGGCAGATACACATAGGTACTGATAGAGTTTTCTGCTAAATGGAATTCATAAATCAGTATTGTTGTCCCCTGCAATGACAAACATGCCACTTAGAGATCGAGAGCATCAAATCATGACCTATTTACAAAGTTACCCCTGCAAAAGAAAATGCAATGTTACACAGGGCAAGTTGTTGCTATTTTCTCCCCTGCTGCTGCAGATACAGGGAGCCTTTGTTTGGGGGACACTGAAAACAGAATAAGAAAGGGAGGAGGATTGATGATGCTTACAACAATAACAAACACTGCTCTTTTCTACTGCTAGAGCACCTGCTGCCTCCATCAGTTCAGGCTCATCCATTATGCAGCAGGCCAGCAGGGACAGCTCCAGAAGCACCAACTCTGAAGCCATCGTGGTCCTGAGCAAGGATCAAGGCCCAGAACAAGCAACCTCTCATTTACCAAATTGATGAGCTGCACTAGCACTTACTCTCTTCTCTGTTTATCACTGGTTGAAACAAATACTGGGAACAATTAGATTAAGCATCTGGTTCAAATACATACAGAGGAATAAAAGAAATTTGCCTTCAACAGAATTTGTCAATTTAGCCTTGTGGTAAATAAATTCCTGAAGGGAGAAGAAAACCCAACAACTATTTTAATTGCTGTTACTTTGTTTTTACTGTTAGTGGAAACCATGCAAGGTCTAAAATGGACTGAAAGGAATGTAATTATTTCACCGTAACGCTTTAATAGTGGAAAAGGAGCCTATTAAAAACATGCTTAACATTTCCAACCTAAACAATATGACTGCAAGTTTCAAAACATTTGCTACATTTCTACAATTCCAAGAAATCTTTTGAGTTGGCTGCTTCCTCAGCAGAACCAGGCCTGTCCCATGAACATTTTCATGCTTCCCTCACACTACCAATTCAAAGTATCTCACTCATGCCAACAGGGCAACACGAACGCTACATTAAACATGAAGCACTGGCATGACTCAACATTGAAAAGTGTATTAAAAAATTATCAGCATTGGATGGCAAAGCACTTTTCAGAATTAGTTGATTAATTCACAACTTTCAGCTGTCAAAATGAGAGGAAAAAGCACGATTGATTGAAGTTCTTCATCAACACACTGGTTTTCCATGTACCTCCTGACATTCATGGACACTGAGCAACCTTCTTCAAATCTGAAATAAACAAAAACATTCCAGAGACCTTGAAACTAGTCATTAATCATACGACTATATAAAAAGGGAAAGTAAGTTACTTTCCTAAATAAGTTGATTTTAAATTTCATGTATTATTCGATTAGTAGATTAAAGGCAAATAAGTATAATCAATTTATCCATTCCTATTAAAAAGCACATAGTACTGACAATGTTATGTGGCACTCATCAGTAATGTTGCACTTGCAACTGTGGAAGAGCACTACTGTCTTACAAATAGGAAAATGAGCTAGAACTGCCCAAACAGGAATACCTACCTAATCTACAAACAAAATTAAAGACAACATGGAGAGAAAAACAAAACAAAACAAAACCTCACCACCTCCCCCTGCACACCACAAAAAAAAACCCAAACCAACCCGTAACATTACAACTTACTCAAATAATACAGATATTCTGTGTATCAGCCAACTTTTTTGGATAAAACCACACAACATTCTTTTGAGAAGGCATTAACTTATGGAAAATTGTATTTCTCTCCCCATGGTTTTTAATGTGAAAAGCTACCTGCATGCATCAAGAGCTTTGTTGCTGAGTTCATGTGCTCATACAGTTTTCCAATCTTGACTGTCTGCAAGTGCACCAAAGCCATATCAAAGCCTAAGATGATAATCTCTGTGATGTTTTAAAAGGGAAAGCTCAGGAAGAACCCAAAGCTGCTTTCTCCCTGGCTAAAACTAAGTGTCTTTTGCAATCAGCTGACTCTAATAGGTGCAAAATCTAAACCTCACATGCTAAATATTGCCGGTTTAGGCTGGAAGAAGCAGTCACCTATGGCAAGCTACCAGGAACAGCTGTCTGGTAAAAACCTGCTGTCTGGAATTAAGAGCAAGAGTTTGAGACTTCCCATGAGAAAGGAAAAAAGAAAACCACACAAAAGGCAACTGATACAGGTTTATTTGCTACAAAGGCACCAGCTGACACCTCACTGAAATTTGGACAGTTTCATCCCAACAGTCAATCCAGTTTCTGAATATGCTTCCTAATTTTTCACCCCTTGAGTAGGGGCAGACTGCTCTGCAGTGTATGAAAAGGTTTATAAGGAGCTGGAGAGGCTGCTGGAAAAACAATGTTATTTTGCCAAGACTAATCTGCTGATACATTTGCAACCACCACCTGATTTAGCTATGCCACTTAATCTGTCTTAAAGATAGTTTTTCTTCTGGTATCAATCCTACCATTGCTGGTTTTATACATGACAAGAGGCACCAGGTATCCAAGCATGAGCTGACTCGTCTTAGCCAAAACAGGAATACCAGCACACTCTCTAACCATCTGTTTTTACCATACGCTGCAAAGGTTGGCCAAATGATTTAAGTCCAGTGCTTTCATAGTGTTTTGCATACTCTGTACTCTAACTCCATACTTTAAAACTGCCAGAAATTTTCTCCCGGTTAGCCTGAGGTGATTCGTTCTTATACTTATCACTCTCTACCTTTCAAAACATCAGTGATTTTTACCCCTCAACAATAAAAAGGTATTTTTCCCCAATTGCACACCACCAGGAGGTACAAATGTTTAGTGGGACAAAGACTTATGTGGGAACAAAGGAATTTAATAAAAGGATGTTAAAAGGGAGAAAGTTAATCTTCCTGCTGCCTCAACACATGGTGCATGGTAGAGGCAAGGGGGCAGGAGGAAGAGAAGGGCCTTGATTCATAGCATTGCATCCCGTAAGTTTTGTGCATATCACTTTCAGATAAAGTCTGTGTATGAATTTTCTCTGCTTTCTCAAAGTTTGACTTGCGTTTTACATGAGGATAAAAGTGAAGTTGCA